ATTATATTATATTATATTATATTATATTATATTATATTATATTATATACAACTAGTTTATTTGGAAGTCAAGTATCGCTCCTCACCAGTAGTTGGAGAGACACAACTTCATGAGGCGCCGAGGTAGTGCAGCCCCAAGTTGCTCACTGGAACACACATGGACCAGAAATCGAGTCTCGTGCTGATAAATGGAACAAAAATCGAATCTCATGCTGATACAGCGCGTTTCATAAGTATAAAATCACCCTCGAATTTGGTATTTGCAGGATAAGCATCCAAGCACTTTCCTTTTTGGCACCACCATTAATTCATCCCCTTCAATAACCCCCATATATGCGCATTGGTTTACTTAACTTTTATATAAACATTTATATAGATTATTTTCGGTTTTTTGCCTTTCCACAATTAAAGGATCACCTCCGACAGCGCGAAGGTTCTGAAATCTAGTGCAGCAGAATTTGCACTTGGAGTGATCTGTATAGGAGAGAATGTGTCGCAAATATGTTTGAAAGCAATATGCACTTTGCCTCGCGGAGGTCATATTTCTCAAAAGAAAAAGCACAAATTTGAAATTTTCGTGATACAGGGTTCAGTACGAGGGCAATTAGAAGGAGAGTAGTGAGATCCTTCAGCTCCTTTAAAAGATATTTGAAGACTGGATGCCTCCACGAGAACAGGATGCCCGCGCAAACTAAGCGCGAACTACGCTTTCCAACAGGACAGTGCTGCGATCCACGTTAGTCATTCCACGGAAGATTAGTTCCTTACCTGAAATTTCGAAGTTCTTACATGGACAGCTTGCAGCCCCGATTTGAACTCGATGGCGTAACTGTGGGGCATCATTATAAAAAAGATTTATGGGAAAAACTGTCAGTTCCAGGCGATAGAGGAGCTCAAGCAGGCATCACTTGGATTTTGGAATGAAATTCTCCGGCGCCATGCAGGCTATTCGAGATATTGGGCCAGAACAAGTAAGACCCATCGACTAATAAATGTGTTTTTGTCGTTATAACGATAATTTTTATCAAATTTTCAAAGTGATCTTATACTTATGAAACGGCGCAAAATCCAAAATTACTTATATAAAAGTTATGGTTCAAATTGATTCAACAAATGTCCGTGCGTGGGTATTATTCAGGGTAGGTGATCTGATAGTAGTGCCTAAATTTTGTCTGCTTAGCTGCTTATCCTGTAAACACCGAATTTGAGGGTGATCCTATACTTATGGAACGCACTGTATTAGCCGATGTCAATAAGCCCTTCCTCCTTTCAAGGTCGGTCAGTTGGTACCAAACAAGCCCATGAAATTGGAAGCACTGGCTCGTGTATCGGCAGGTCGCCGCAAGTCAATGTTTAGGCCATAATGCAATCGAAACGCCACTACGGCTCTGAATTAAAGTCGGGTACGAGGACGCAACCCAAAAGAGATTGGTCAACACCGAACGACTCTAGTCTTCATCCTTTACAGCTCATATCTGTGGCCCACACATTCCAGGCTTCTCGACCAGAAATCGGTGTGGATATCCAGACTTGACGCCAGAGTGAACCAGACCACTTCCAGCCGGCGATGGCTTAAAGGCACTGTTCACGAAAAAAATGGTTTCGGAGATCTGCACATGGTTTGAATTCGACGCCCCCTCTGATACCATTTGTGCAGGAATGAGGTTGGAAAACGGTCTGGATAGGGCACAATAAGGGCAGGACCAGTGGGGGACGGGAGGCCTCCGCCCCTCGCTAGGCTGACTACGAAATCTAATTGCCGTTCATCACTTTCGCATTGGGCAAAGTTGTCTGCTTGGGTGTGTTGTTTGCTATTGCAGACATTGCGTCGCCTTCCTGCACTCGGCCGAACACTCCCTTAATCGCCGTTCTTCCAATGTGAAACTCGTCCAACCCCCCTTTCCAGCTCTTTTTTGACCCTTTCTATTTCTTTTTGTTCATCGTTTTTTGCGCTTTTTTCGTTGTTATCGCCTTATTCTAGAGTAGTTCTATGAATTCCCGTCAAAAAGGGGTACCCTAAGTTTATCGTAAACGGTGCCTTTAACACATATCTCTTCTCTATCTGAATTGGCGAACCATTCTTCAGCCACCAAAAAATGGGTGTTAAGTGCAAATCCTGGCCCCCCGGCGAATATACCGCAATTAACTACTGTTGTGAAAAGGCAATCAGTCACTCGGATTTCCCAATTTCAGGCGGCAAATAATTATAGATGAGGTAATACGACCTAATTTTGCTGTTAGTTCAGTGAAACAGACTGTCGTTGCAACTGTTCGGAACCGCTGCAGTTTCGTTTTTCACCCTGTAAGAAGGAATGTCAACTGAAGGCATTCTGCCGAAAACAGGGAACAGCTAAGAGGATTAGCAAGATCGACAGCTCAGATGTATCTTATCAGTCCGGGAAGTACTTCCTGTCATTCACCGGCCTGATCACACGATTATACGGCTGTCGTGTCAGAGTATAAATATATGACTACGGGTATTATCAGAATATTTTGAAAATGATTCTGTTGCTCCTTTGGGCTGCAGTAATCTCGTACGTGGTCAGCCATCCGACCACATCCTTGGATGTCCCGCCTTCGACATTTTGGTTCCGACGTGACCCTGAAACGCGGATGACAGTGGTAAGTTACCCTTTTCCTATCAAATTCAAGCAAAGAATCTGCACCCACAAATGCTTTCAGCCAGAGATTATCAAGCACTGGGGGTACCCAGTGGAGGTTCATCATGTGGTCACCCCGGACGGCTATATTCTCGAAATGCATCGAATCCCTTATGGAAAAGCCGGTGAGCGTCAACAGCTTTTCTTGTATGAACATGAACGAGCTAGGTTCCTTCTCAGGGCCGTCGAACACTTCTCGACCGGTGGTGTTCCTGCAACACGGTTTGGAGTGTAGCAGCAGCGACTGGATCATGAACCTCCCCGATCAAAGTGCAGGTAAGAACTCCCCGCGAACGGTAACGAGCCACGAATTTTGCTACAGCTGAGGTGTCTGAGAGGTCGAAGCTCTGTATGCATATCGATATCATTCAAAGATTTTCGAGCCGAGGCGATTACCTAGCCCTGGCCATCGAAGAGGCACTCCAGAATAATGAAAAAATGAATGAATCGTCTGAGCTGTCCGCCAAGAATCATGGATTACGTCGTATGGGTATGATCAATCAGTTGCACACGACTCAGTGCTTTCGGATGCAGAAGCAGGCCAGCTTTGAGTCAACGTTTTAGGAGACTGTTTTCAAGGCTACGAAGTGTTTTTGTGGTAATGTAAAGTTCCGAGGAGCATATAGAAAAGTTAACAGTTTCGAAGCAAAAACAAAGCGACGAAAAAAGGTATTTAGGATCAATGAATATTTCGTTTAATATAATACAATCAGCAGAAATAGATCAATACCACAAGAAGGTGAAAAAATCGTGAAGAGTACCCAATCACAGCTATTCCATAGCAAGTATGTATAAGAAAAGTAATTGTACCAACTTTTAGGCACAAGTAGCCCTTTAAGAATGCAAACGCAAGAATGGATCCTTAACAAGAAATCTATTACTTCTGTATATGTAGAGAACCATTAGGTGTTGCCTTCGGAGAGTTACAGAGGGGGAAAGAGTGGGAGTGAAGAAAATGAAAGTATAAAGTAAGGAAAGACAGTGGAACGGTACAAAACTAAGGATAATCGATATTACGAATGACGGTCGAAGTAGCTGATGCCACGTGGCCTCTCAGATCAGGTTTTACAAACATAATGTAGATCACCGAAGGTTTGTTCATACATTTTTGCGGTTCATTCTGTTCATTCTTCTAAAACTCAAGTTGAAGCTAGAACCTTGAAACAAATTGTGTCGATCCCTATTTAAGAAGTGCGCCATGTTCTCGCCCACAACTCGTAATCACAACGGTATTTGAAAGCACGCCAAAACTATACAAAACTATTGCATGCAGTCGCTTGCAAATTGTTATTTCTAAATTTTCGGGCATCTGCGGATTTGAACAAGAAACCTAGAGAGCAAAGACGGTTCAGTTGGCCTCATGGGGCCTGATTCTACTGTTATTACGGGCTTCATCTTGCGCTACCACAAGACAACAACTTCTTTGCTACTCTAAGAAATTAAATTTGGCTAGAAAGAAAGCAATAGTAGAGGAACGAGTTCCCGAGAGCCGATTGCTACCCCTGTCCCTATAAAGAGCACGCATCC